GCAGAACAGAAACAAAAGAGACAAGAAGCAGCAGCAAAGAAGAAGGCAGCAGCGTTGGCAGCAGCTGAGCAAAAGAAGCGGGACAGGGAGGCCATACAGGCAGGGAAAGGAGAAGAGGGTGAGGCCGAGGGCGTTGAACAAGAACCCAACAAAAAGCGTCGGTCTCGTGTGGGCAAGATCCAAGAGCTGTGTGAGACAGATCCTCCTATTTTGCATGAGCTGCGATCATCCAGCATGATTGTGCCAACCATTCGCTCTGAAGATGTCCATGCGTTCGTGAACATCATTGCCACCGAGCCAAAGTTGCCAGCTATTGCAAGGTTGAAGAAAGCAAGTTTCAAGAAGGTTATGTCTGCAATTTAGTTGTATTCAATTATTTTTTTTGTTCCAGTCTGCCTGACTTGCTCAATAATGTGGTATATTATATAATGTGCTTTGACCTCTATCCCAGCAACTTCTTCAATGCCCCGCACATATGCCTTATTGCTCCATCTATATAACTATATCCAACCCAATGTTCATCACTGTTCATTGTTGTGTGGTGACCAATGACCGACCGATTGTTTTACTGATGGGTATTAAATAGTTATATTGATACATTGATATGTGGATAATCATCTCCCTGGTGACACTTCATATCAGTGTCCAGCCAAGGCAACTCCTGGTGTCACTTCGCAGCATGCCAATGTCACTGCAAAGGTCCTTCAATCTGACTTTCAGAGGTTCTCTACAGATACAGCTGCAACGTTTGCATCTAATGCCAATGGATCCAATCGGAAGGCCCTACCCGCAGAAGCTCCTCCTACAAATCTGGGCATGGATATGCTGCTACAGTTGGAGATTGAAAGGTTGGGCAATGGTAAAGGAAACCGACAATATGATCCCACCGTCCTGGATCGTGAGCTACTTGATTCCAGGCATAGTTGGTCCAAAGTAATCATTCATAAAACACAACTCACTCATTCCAGTGCAGTTTCTCACCAAGTTCCCCATGTAGGTAGACAGGTAGACCAACCTAATTCATGGAAACCATTGCCACCACACACCAGAGTCAATGTTCATGGCACTGATACTAGCATCAGTGGCAGCAGCAGCAGCAGAATTGACAAACTTCATCATTATCACACGTATATACACATATCATAGTGACACATTGTTGGTTAAGTGAGTTCTTTGGCCTGGCCAGGCTACGTGAGTTCATTGGCCAGCACTCCAAGGATGAGCAGTTGATCAAGAAGGAGGGCTGCAAGTTCACAAAACTTTCCTGGATTGGGTCCCGCCAAGGTGATTTGTATTGTGGACATATGCCAGATGGCTTGGGGTATTTGGTCTACAACCAGGAAGGGAACCGACTGATGGCAACGATGTCCATGGAAGAGGCATGTGGCTTGGTGAAGTCAGACTTTGACATGGACAAGCTTTCGCCAGACGAGCTGACAACACTTATCCAGGACTGGTACTGGTACTGGTGTTGTTTGTTTTTTTAAGTAAGTAAATGTATTGCAGTTTGTTTAATTGGTCACTGTGTCAAATCATTCTCTATCACTGAATCCCAATGTCACTCATCCACTAAAGGTTTGATTTAACATGACTGCTAGGCTAGGGTGGCTTTCTATTGTTCTGTTTTTGCAGGAGGCAGCCAAGTCCATGGCAGCTTTGGATGCAGCAACATTGGCCAAAGAAGGAGTTATCACGAAATCTCTGCGGATTAGCTATGTCACACCTGGGGACGTCATCTATGTCCCTTTTGGAGCATTGGTACTAGAGAAGGCCTTGGGAACACGTTGCATGGGCTTGCGTGTGCCCTTGACGCTGATAGCTCCTGACCAAACACTACCAGCCCAATTGCTGATCAAAGCATCGCAAGCTTCCTCGGCCAAGGGGCCTGAGACCATTGGATGCAATTACCATTGCAGTAATTCATGGGCATTAGAGTACAGTGGGTTGGTGGGGTGAATGAAGTGGATTAGTTTTTGTGTTTGTTCTTGTTTCCACCACATTGTTCTTAGTTTCCACCAATTGGCACAACACCACCAAATTTCGAGATACATGACAAACTCAGGAGGCTGGTGATGAAGCTGCTTCTCAACACTATCAACGATGTCTACAATGCCAATTGTCGGGACCATGTGCTGGCTGTTGCGCCTGAGACTGTGTCAGATGCTGAAAGGTCTGATGGTGCTGGTGAAGGGGAGGAAGCCAAAGCAGAGATGAATGAATCCAGTGTTGTATTTGACCTCCTGAATCCGCCTCCCAACTTGCGAGAGTTCCTGTCACAAGGTGAGTACGTGTATGTGGATGCTTCGGTGCTTCAATGCCGAAACCATCCACGGTTCCAAGAGTATTTGAAATGGGTAAAGGTCAACCACCCTGATGTCGAAGATGATTGGGACTTTGGTGATGACTTCACATCCGACCCATTGGAAGATGTCATCAGTTTCGTGGGTTGGCCCAACGGCAAGGAGGGGGAAACGCACCACTCGGAGAAGATGGACTTGCCAAAGGTCAAGAAACAGATTGACTATGAACACCTCTCTGACCTCAAAGCACTTGAAGAAGAGCTGAACAATGCTGCGGCCGCTGATGAACCAGAGTATGATTTGCATAGTGAACTCTCAAGGATGCAGGAACATCCCGCTTTTGCCAGCTACAAACTCTGGGGGGTGAAGAACAATGAGTTTGAAGAGGACTTTGACTTTACCTATGAGGACGACGATCCTGTCAGCGGCATTATGCATTTCATCAACTGGTGGTCTTCCAACAAAGACACACCAACAAACATCTTCACAGCAGAGGATCATGCTGCTACAGTTACAGCTGGCAATACTGACCCACAGGCAGCACCAGTAGCCAAGCCAAATGATCATCAACCACTGCCTCAGCATGTCCCAGAGCAGCCTGATGCAGCCAGCGAAGCCAACCCACAGGCAGCACCAGCCAAGCCAAATGATCAGCATGTCCCAGAGCAGCCAGCACCAGCAGCCAAGCCAGGTGATCAGCATGTCCCAGAGCAGCCTGATGCAGCCAGCAATGTCGACCCGCAGACAGCACTAGCCAAGCCAGATGATCAGCGTGTCCCAGAGCAGCCAGCGCCAGCAGCCAAGCCAGATGATCAGCGTGTCCCAGAGCAGCCTGATGCAGCCAGCAAAGTCGACCCACAGGCAG